CAAGGCAAACGCCCTACCCGCTGTGCTATCTCTCCAGCCCCTCCTTTATGTCATTTTTATGATTTATTTAGTAATGTCATTTTGTATGAGCACAGAGATATATTAAGCTTAAAGTTTGGTTCTTCCTGGGAACATCTCATTATATATTCCAGACCACAGTCTTCAGGCCAAGTTCGTCTTCCTAATCCCAGCAGGGTCCTTATTCAGGTACCTCTTTTTTTGGGTCATGACAGAGTTTGTCCATGACCATGGTCTTAACTTATACTTAAGTACTATGGCGCTTGTCCTGGCCCATTTTGATGCCAAAGTAGCTCACGGCTTGCCCTGGGTCCATAAGTCCCTCGTCAGGACCCTATTCTTGGAGTGCTAGGAACTAAGGGCAACTGAGGCTTACGTCAAGTAAATATGGATGCACAGGAGTAAATATTGTTTTGGAGTCAATTAACTCCCATGTTTTTTCATTCCTACTTTGACAAACTGGCAGGCTACCGAATGTAGCCTGCCCACACGGCAGAGTCTGGCAAACTCCCCGTGGCGCACCCAATATGCCAAATACCAGTAAAAATGATGGGTCTCATTCTCCTAAAGAGCTTTGAATATAACCTCAGGGCCAGGATGAAGGAGATGTTACTGGGGCCTGCTCGAGGCAATCGACGAATAACAGGATGATCTGTGATCTGTGAACTCCCATGTTACGTAGCATAGCATCAACTGTCTTCCTGTGTCTATACAAAAAGGACATTGCTAAATAAATGATACAAATGACATAAAGGAAAGAGAAAAAGCAATATAGCATTATTAGTTGTGCCTCAGTTGCACTGTTCTAGGAGTGGCTCAGTAAACCTTAAGCTTCCTGCAGGAGCAACAAAGACAACCCAGTGTTATCCAACACATGGGATGAAACAGGGGAAGCAAGAAGAAGGTGTACTAAACAATTCACAAAATAATATGTCACCAAATTAACCTTCCAAAAGTTTAAACCCAGGTTATTTATTTTAAAAGTATGTATGTCTATCTTTTATAACATATGTCACAGCTTTTATTTTTAAATAATATGTATAATTATTTTAATATCCATCTTTGTGACCATAAAAATGGTAACTAGATTGAGTCACTGGCAGAGTCTTTTGTCTTGGGGGCCAGTGGTAATCCTGGAAGTTCTCTAGAGACCATACAGTACTTAGGAGACCATCTGATGCTGGAGTTCTAACTCAGGTCTGCTGTACACAAGGCCTGTTCTCAGTCCACTAAACTATCTCTGTGGCCCTCTAGTATAGTTTTTTAAAAATTTTTTCTCTGCATTGACTTGCTACTTTTTATATAGTTTAAGCAATATGATTGTAATAGTGTTAAAGTTCATGGTATTGAGGTACAAAGTTACTACACCCCACCACCAGGACCAATATCGATGATTCTCCACCACTGTCCCCGTGTCACCAACTAATTTTGTCTTAATCACTAAAATTATAGGACCAGGAAGATTGCTCTGAGTGATACTCAGAAAGTGCTGAGTATCACTGCACAGGGAAAAACTCCCATCACTGGTGGACATGGTTCTGCCCCCCAAAATGCTAACATTACATCTGACATAATCTGAATAATAATCATTTAATAGCCATAACAATATTAATTCAATTTTGTTAAACTAATGAATAGATACTAATGAGCAAGGAGAGGATGATAAAATCTCAGGGCTGAACTAGGCTGCCAAAATGAAGAAAGACTAAAATGACTGTTTGTACTTTCAATGCACGTATGCTGGCATCAGAAGCATCCATCGAGGACCTGATGGTGCAAGCACAGAAGATCAACTATGACATCATTTATCTGACCAAGGCGAGAATGCATTAACCACATCACACCATTTTCGACACCGGAGAAGAACTCTTCCTTGGAACATGCGACGAAAGAGGCATCAGTGGTGTCCGTGTCCTTGTCAACATGAACTTGACCACGAGCATTGATTCATTCGAATACCTAACAACACGAATCAGACAATTATGCTTGAATAGATGTGGCTCATTGCCAGCAGTTTCTGTTTTCGTCTATGCACCAATATCCAACTATGATGACGAAGAAATTGAGAAGTTCTACATGGAGTTGGAGAAGTTCTATAAAAAAGATCACATTTTCTACAAGATCATTGTCGGTGATTTTAATGCCAAGATAGGACCAAGAAGTTAGCCCAAAGAACTCCACATTGGGACCTATGGCCTAGAATGGAACGAAAAGGGTGAAAGACTGTCTGAGTTCATCATGTCAACCAAGACCATCCATGGATACTCACAGTTCCAGAAGGCCAAATCTAAATGCTGGAAATGGGAGTCTCCTGGTGGAAAGTTCCACAACGAATTGACCACATCATATTCAATCGTCAGTTTTGTCTGACCGATGTCGCTGTTGTCCCAAAATTCCAAGTGGGATCGGACCACTGTCTCCTTCGTGCAAAATTCTACATCACAGAGTGGGGAGAGAAGGCTACAAAGTTTAAGAAGAGAACTCCCAGAACGACCACCAACTGGCACTATTGAGGCAACATGGGAAGATACTATCGTTGATGACATCGACGAGGAACATGATCAACTGGTTCAGTACCTCCATGATTGTGCGAGAAATGCCAAGAGATAGAAAGCCACAAAAAGACGCCTGTCTTTGGAAACTCTCGAGCTCATTTGCCAATGTGGCTTGGCATGAGCCTCAGGCAACCACAAGCTAACGTCTGAGCTCACAAAGCAGTGCAGAGAAGCCAAAAAAGAAGACCTCAACGAGAGAAGAGGAGCAGTGCTGGCCAATGCAGCAGAATCTGAGAAAATTATTTGCAATGCCCGCCTGTCCTTCGCCAACTACAAGACCAAGATGACTGCCCTCCGAAGTCCTGATGGATGTATCACATCTTCCAGAAGGGCAATGGAGAAGATTATCCATGACTTCTACTCAGATCTCTTTGAGAGACACATTCATCTGCCCATATACCAAATTCCACAGGATGAATATGTCATTCCCAAACTTCTCCCTTTTGAAATTCGACACACCATTTTGTTGGTAAAAAAGTGTACAGCACCCGGCCCAGACAAGGTCAGACCTGAACACCTGAAGAATCTGCTATTAGTACTCGTCAATACACTGGCTAGGCTTTTCACACACTACCTGTCTGAATGCCAGGTTCTGTTCCAATGAAAAACTAGCAGGACCATTCTATTGTGTAAGAAGGGAGACATTCATGACATTGGCAACTACTGCCAGATCTGCCTGTGGTCCATCATCTACAAGCTGTTCACTCGAGTCATCCTGAATAGAATTGGCAGAACACTAGATAAAGGAGAACCACGCAAGCAAGCCAGGTTCCGAAAAGGATTCAATACGATCAACCATATCCGTACAGTGACCAAGCTCATTGAGGTTTCTTGGGAGTTCAAGATGCCGCTCTGTCTAACGTTGATCTATTTAAAGAAGGTCTTTGATTCTGTTGAGACGGAAGTGGTCATCGAAGCCCTAGCCAAACAGGGAGTTCAAACTCAGTACGTCATGATCCTCTATGAGCTGTATTACAGATTCACTACAAGGATCTCACCATTCTACAAAGAAGTGATCATCCATGTCAAGAGAGGGGTTCAGCAGGGTGATACCATTTCACCAAAACTCTTCAGTGCCACCCTCGAGAATGTCATGTGAAGACTGGAATGGAAAGGAATGGGAGTGAAAATAGACCGTCGGCAACTACACCACCTCCGCTTTGCTGATGACATCGTTCTAATAAGACCAAACATTAGCCAAGTGGCACAGATGCTGGCCGACTTTGAACGTGAGTGTGGAAAGGTTGGACTGCAACTGAATCTCACGAAGACAATGTTAATGAAAAACGGACTAGTTCCTGATGTTCCATTTGCTCTCAACAGAATGAACATCTTCGAATGCAGCAATTATGTGTACCTAGGTCGAGAACTCAACATTGACAAACGACCTGTCACCTGAGCTGTGCAGGAGGAAGAGAGCAGTGTGGAACGCCTTCAAGAGCATCGAAGAAATAGCTAAGAAGATGAATGGCTCCAGGCACATCTCTTTGACTCCATCGTTCTCCCTGCACTAACAAACACCTCAGAGACCTGGGTCCTACGAAAACAGGATGAGAACGCTATTCGGGTTCACCCAGAGAGGAATCAAAAGAGCTAAGCTTGGAGTATCATGCTTTACTCAAGAGAGAGAAGGGATCCGGAGTTTCGACCTCCATTGATGATTGAGAATCCGGGATGCTGTCTCATTTGCCAAGGCATCAAAAATCAGATGGGCTGGACACACAATGCAATTTGAAGATGACTGCTGGACTAGAGTTGTTACTGACTGGATTCCACATGATGTCAAAAGAACGCATGGTCACTCACCTACAAAATGGTCAGACTTCTTCATCAAGACCCTGAAAGAACAATTTGAGGCTCTTTGTCTTCCTGGAGCGAGCAGACATCACTAAGCTACACTAACATGCGACAGGAACAAATGGAGACGTTACTGACTCCCACTCAAGCAAATTGTAATGGGATATCATGTGATCAAGTGATCAGTGAATAGATATACAAACAATTGAGTGAAGTGTCCTGTCAAACTCTATCTGTGAAAAAAAACCTACAGGCTTTTTTTTTTTTTTGCTTTCTTACAGTTATTTCCTGGACTGGAGCGATAGCACAGCAGGTAGGGCATTTGCCTTGCACACAGCCGACCCGGGTTCTATTCCTCCATCCCTCTCAGAGAGCCCCACAAGCTACCAAGAGTATCCCTCCCACACAGCAGAGTCTGGCAAGCTCCCTGTGGCGTATTTGATATGCAAAAAACAGTAACAACAAGTCTCACGATGGAGACGTTACTGGTGCCCACTCGAGCAAATCGATGACCAATGGGAGGACAGTGCTACAGGACAGTGCTACAGTGTATTTATTTCCTATATCCAAGAGATATTTTGTTTTGCTTTCTTACAATCTGAATAATCTAAATGTTTTATTTTCTTTAAGCTATCTCCGATATATAATTTGGTCCCACTAAAAATAAAAGATGCCCACCAAAAGAAGCAAAATTTGGAAAAAGCCATTAGAGATTATATCTCTGAATTTGATGCAAGAAAATGTCACCCATGCCAGAATGCAGGCACAGCGGTTCTGATGGATGGGCAGTGCTCATGTATGTGCCCAGTCAACTTTGAGGGACTGGCTTGTGAAAGAAGGAAACAAAACGTTCCTTCTCAGGTGAGAACCACTTTTTAAATGTCATTAATTTCTCTTTTATTTATTTATTTTGGCCTTTTAGGTAATACCCAGTGATATTCAGGAGTTCTCCTGGCTCTGCACTCAGGAATTACTCCTGGAGGTGCTTGAGGTACCATATGGGATGCCAGGGATTGAACCCGGGTCAGCAGCATGAAAGGCAAATGCCCTACCTGCTGGACCATCACTCTGGCCTCAATTTCTCTCTTTTTTTAAAGCGGGCCCCTGATGAAGTTATTTACGTTGAAGGCTCATTCTTAAATTAATTCTCACTAAACTGCTAGATTCCATGTGAACAGATGACAAAAACTGGAATGCAAAGCTTAAAATGGTCACAACCCCCTTTATTTGTCATTTGGCAGTCATAATATCAAACTCAATATTTAACCAGAACTCTAAAGAGTAATGAATTGCAATTGTTGGAAAAATATTAATGTGAAAAAAAAGTTTGCACAATATAATGACCAAAAAACAATCAGAATAACAGATGCCAAACATGTAGATTATATGTACACATCATATATAAGCAAATTTATATAAAACATGTGTGTGCACACTTATATATGTACTTTAAAGCCCTTTTAAGATGATAGATATAGTAGAGGGTACTTTGGATTACATCTCTTCTCCTGTAAAATAAAAGTCCCTATTGCCTCTTATCTATCATATACATTGTTCAAATGTGATTGTTTCCCTTAAGTTAGTGTGCACACTTTTCAGCCTGTAGTTTTGAATTTGTATACAAAAGGACACATGTAACAATAAAACTATTTGATATTGCTTTCGATGTTTTTTAACTTTTCACAAATAGTATTTGTTAAATTTTGCAATTTTAACTTTAAGAATGTGAAGATCTGAAAACAGATTTTTGCACTGTGTTTTACAGCTAATACTTTCGGATATTGTTTTTACTTTTTCACAAGAAAAAATAAAGTTTTCCTGTTGCTAATGCCAAAAGAATTTACTAAGACCTTAGACTGTGATGAAACCTTTATCTCAAATCGTTTTTCTAAGGAAAAATCTGCTGTGCATCAGTTCTCTGAATGTCCAGTTTTATCTTCCCTGGCCTGAGTCCATCTGAAGCTAAAAACTGTACTCATAATCTTTCTTTTCACATGTGATTCACTGAACCTGATGTGTTCTACATCTTTTTTTCCCCCTCAACCAATCCTGCTTCCCTTTCCTTTATTCACCATGCGAGTTTATTCCAAACTGAGGGTTCTTTACCTGGTTGCTCATGAGATCTACTTTATTAGCTTTTTCAAAGTGGCAAACCCCAAAGCAAAATAAATCAGTTGTTCATCCCAACTCAAGGGATCCACAATCCCTGAGGTGGATTCTTCCTAGACGTGTCTTCCTACCTCCTTTTCCTTCCTTCTTCCCTTCTTTCCTATTTCTCTTTCTTTCCTTCCTTCTGTTCTTTCATTTCCTAATCCTCTGATTACCAAACCAAGTCACATTTGAAACTTCTATTCCATATTCAGGTCAATAGACATCTCTTTAGTGAAATCTCCTCCAGTATTTTCAGAAATCTATTCTGTATCTGTTCTCCCAGAGCCCCTTTCTTCATATGCTTCTCCAACACTAAGCCCTTCTACTCGGCCTACAATAAATAATTGGCTCCTCTATTTCAGAAAGATGTCTTCTAGCTCAGATCTCATTCTGTTCCCAGGACCTCATTCTATCTGGTATATCATAATGCAGAAGTAAAGAGGAGGAATAAAAGATGGGTGGATGAACTCAAAACTAACGTTCTAGTCATTATTTAGATTTTACCATGCTTTTTGTTTGTTTGTTTCTAGAATTCGGGGCCAAGAAGAGAATAGAGCTGTTGGCTTCCCTGGGATCCTATAAAAAGAAAAAAAAACACTTGGATCAGCCAGTATATGATCCTGCCCCTTGAGATAATTCTTGGTGCCAAAGGAAGAAGCAAAGTGCTTTCTGAAAATCTCACCGGCATCTGAAGTCTCCTCTCTCCTCTATCCAGAATGTTTCTTTTCCTCCTTAAGCTCCTATGATGTTTTCATTTGTTCTGCCCTAATGAGGAGAGTCAGCAGTGAAATATGCCAGCACTGCTTTCTCCCACAGGCAATGCCAATCTCTCCCTAACAAAACAAAATTAAATTAAAAAGAGAACATTGGTTAAAAGGCTTTAAAGTCAGTGCCAAAGTGCTTTGTATGATTAATATGTTCCACTATTTCCATTACCACAAGTCTGGACTGTATGGCTTCACTCTTGTTTGCATAATTGTGCCTTGTTTGGTCATCCGTCTATAAGTGCATGTACTCTTTTGGCAAATCCTGAGCACCACCACAGGCACAACACTCTGCTCTTGTTAGTCTTAGTTCTCCAGCTCAAGACACCACCTCCAAGGAAAAAATGTATGTGCAACCAAAAGCTATCAGCTTAAATCATGTGAAACTGCCTGTATTCAATCATATTTTACCAAGGAAAAAAAAGAGGTTAGCAATATCCTAAGTCCATTGCAATTCCTAGTTTTAGCCATTTGATTTTTTAAAATTTTATTGAATCACCATTAATTACAAAGTTACAAAGATATTTATGATTGAATTTCGGTCATGCAATGTTCCAATACCAGTCCTTTCACTAGTGCCCATTACCCTCCACCAATGTCCCCAATTTCCCTTCTGGCCCCCTCAACACTGCAGTCAACTTCTGTGGCTATTGCCTTTAAGCTTTATATTTTTTTTAAAAAATTTTTAATGAAACAACATGAGATACAATTACAGATTTACACACTTTTGTGATTACGTTTCAGTCACACAATGATTGTATACCCATCCCTCTACCAGTGCCCATTCTCCACCACCTGTGTTCCCAGTATCCCTCCTACCACCCCCACCCCAATTCCCCCTGCCCCCGCCTCTGTGGCAGGAACATTCCCTTTTACTCTATCTTTTTGGGTGTTGTGGCTTGCAATACAGGTAATAAGTGGCCGTCATGTTCGGCCTGTACTCTACTTTTAGCCCGCAGCTTCCATCCTGAGAGAGCCCTCCAAGCATCCTTTGCTTGGTGGTCCCTTCTCTATCTCAGCTGTCTTTTCCCCCAGCATGTGAGGCCAGCTTCCAAACCATGGAGAATCCTCCTGGTCCTTATCTCTACTACCTCAGGTGTTATTCTCCATTATGTTACTTTATATTCCATAAATGTAAGCTTTATACATTTCAGAAGGTAAGCCTACCCATATAAGGAGCTGGCTAAAGGAATGGACTGTATTTTATCTTTTAGAGAATGTGGTACTAAAAGCCTGAAGATTTTTTAAAAGGTTTGATAATCCTCAAAAATGACAGAGAGAGAGAGAGAGAGAGAGAGAGAGAGAGAGAGAGGGGCCCAAAAGGCAAAAGGAGACATACTAAACACAAAAAATAATTAAAATCAACATTATGATATCACTCTATTGATTTTTTAAATTGTTTTGTTTGTTTTTGGACCACACCTGGAGATTCTCAGGGGTTACTCCTAGCTCTGTGCTCAGAAATTATTCCTTGCAGTTCTTGGAGACCATTTGAAGTCCTGGCAATAAAACCTTGATTGGTCATGTGCAAGGCATACACCCCACCGGTTGTTCTATTGCTCTGGCCCCATGATTATTTTACTTGATATTAACCAAGATTTAATGCATTTATAAATAAATTTTAAGTACATTTTTCTCACTTCCCAGCAATTTTCAAGAATACAAATGATTGTTCAGTAATAATAAATGATTTTTGACAAACTATTAAAAGAAATTTTTTTTTGCTTTTTGGGTCACACCCGGCAATGCACAGGGGTTATTCCTGGCTCTGCACTCAGGAATTACTCCTGGTGGCGCTCAGGGGACCATATGGGATGCTGGGAATCAAACTCAGGTCGGCCGCGTGGAAGGCAAACGCCCTACCCACTGTGCTATTGCTCCAGCCCCAAAACCATTAAAAAATTTTTAAAAATATAGTAATTTACAAATTTTTTCAACTGCAAGTAAAATTATTTGATAGATCCACAGTAAAATTGGCTTACTTATTATCTTTGGGTTCACACCCAGTGTGCTCAGCACTGACTCCTAGAGATGCTTAGGGAACCATATGTGGTGCTGGGGATTGAAGCTAGGTCAACTGTACAAGGAAAATGCCTTACTCACTGTACTAATAACACAGATGGATTTTTATGTGAGAAGTGATATGGAGATGGAGCTGTATAACTGAAATTACCTGCCACCTTTATAAAAATATATAGCCAAGAGAGTTCAGGAGCATTCCTGTTCCCTTTCATCAGAATTCATAAAGAATTGGTATCTGTTCCATCCTAACACAGACCTTTGGTCTTTGACAACCCACTGGTTGAGAGTTTTTTGACATAGGACATCTGGTCAGGGGAAAGTCATCCTAGTGACCACTGGAATTCTCTGCACCCTTTCAAACTGCAAATGTCAAGGAAAAAACGAGTTAAGCCTGTAGCAGGTCCTTTAGTCAGCTCAATGATTTATCAAGATCCCTTCACTAGCAACAGGGTTTACTGCTGGTAGATTCTCCAGCGTCCTTCCAAGGTGGTGTATCTGGCAGAGCATTTCCAGCAGGGTGCACCATTGAGACACCAGAAATTGCCCTAGAGGGATCAGCATTGAAAGAAAGTCTCAAGACAGGAGTAAGAAGAGAAAACTGGACAATAGGGAAAATTGAGAGAGATGAGATGTCTTGGCTGCCTGCCATTAAATGTCACGGCCTGATTGTCATTGGGAAAAAACAAATTCTGGAGGAAGGGATAGTTTGATCTTCTGAGTGTAGTGTAACAACCACCCACATTCACATGGTCTCAAAGCAGGGCACACACACTCACACAGATTCAAAGACATGCACACATGGGGAACAGCCCTCTGAAGTTCAGGGGCTATGTTCAGAAAATAGTATGAGCCCTGGCCTTTACTAAAGGATTGGAGAAGTGGGATATGCATCATGTTCCCTTGATACTAATGGGGGGAAAGGGGTTGCTCATTCTTTTTCTTTTTTATACTTAAAACTCAGGTTGCTTAGTCATTCTTTGGATCACCTGGGGGACAATCAAGCTAGAGCTGCTGACCTTTTAGCTTTTGTCGGTAGGTCAGCAACCTCTTGCTGACTGTGAACCAAGGTCTCTACAAGACCCAGAGATGGTGAACAAGTGGGACACTAAGATTAGAGACAAGATTTTGATTACAGCTCCACAACAGCAGTACCATGGTACATGGTACAGTTTAATAGCATTAAGGACATTCACATTATTGTACAACTATCATCACTATCCATCTCTAGAACTTTATCATCCTTAATTGAACTCCTGTACATGCTAGGCAATAGCTCTTTCTTCCCTACTTCCTCAGACCTGCAGGTCATTCTAGTTTTTATCTCATGAATTTGACTATTTTAGATATATTGTATACATGGATTAATAGTTAATTGTTATTCACTAATCAATTAACAACCAACATTGTTGCTACAGCTCCACAAATAGCAGCTCCTGGGGAAGATTTGCAAAAGTTATTTATGAAAAACAGCCCCAATGAATGATGGATAAAAGATTAGACTCAACTTAGTTTATTTGAAGTAAATTATTTCTCTCTCACACACTCACAAATAAACACATATACCTTCCAGGACAAATATCTAACTCTACTTGCCTCTGTCATCCCCATCTTTTCCAAGTCCCCCCTTTCCATTTCATTATTCTCTACTGTGATAAAAAAAAATAGTAGAATGGTTCAAAAGAACTGACTGTTGTAACATATAACAAATGAGTCACTAAACAATCGCAAGGCACTGAACCGAAGATATCCCCAGAAACAATTATATCTATTTCCTTAATAGAATTGTTAGAATGATGTTAGCTTTGGCACCTAAAGAACAAGCAACAAATAGTGGCTATTGCTCTTGCTCTCCTGCAAGACTGTAGATTAAAAACCCTTTCAATTTTGTTTGTAATATTTGTGACATTCAGTGACCAAGAAGATTAAATCTAAAAACTGAATATAATAGCAGAGGCTTAGTACTCTTCTCTAAATAAATCATACGCTCAGTAAAAATTTTGGAGTTGCAATTTTTTATTGTGACAAAATATACAGTGCATGAAATCTATCATTGGAACCATACTTAATGGTACAGTTTATAGCATTAAGTATATTCACATTACTCTGTAACTATCATTGCTATCCATCTCTAAAATGTTATTATTCTAAACTGAAACTCTGGACCTGTTAAACAATAGCTCTGTATTCTCTATTTCCTCAGAACTGGTACCATTCTAGTTTCTACCTCTGAATTTGACTATTTTAGATACATTGTATAAATGGATTAATAGAACACTACTCATTTTCATATGATTTATTTCACTGGGTTCAATCTGTACCTTCATGTGGCACCAGACCTGAAACCCAAAACAATTTTAAAAAAATTGTTTTTAAAGTTGAATAATATTTCATTGTGTGATAGCACAGTGGTAGGGCGTTTGCCTTGCACGCAGCCAATATGGCCGACCCGAGTTCGATTCCTCCGCCCTTCTCTGAGAGCCTGGCAAGCTACCGAGAGTATCTCACCCGCATGGCAGAGCCTGGCAAGCTCCCCGTGATGTATTCGATATGCCAAACACAGTAACAACAAAGTCTCCAATGGAGACGTTACTGGGCCCGCTCGAGCAAATCGATGAACAACGGGAGGACCGTGACCGTGACCGTGTATGTATACCATATTTTTTTAATGTACTGCTTATGGACACTTGGGTTCCTATCACATTTCTGCTGTTGGGAATAATGTTGTAGTTTTCAATGCTGTCCATGATGGTTCCTCATGCACGTAATTCAAACAACACAACCATCACCAGTGTTCTCACCTCTCACCTAGTGCCCCCCCTTCCACCCATGAATCCTGTAGATTCTAGAGAACAAGATATAGACTATATCCAAAACCACCCAAAGAGTAGCAAGTAAATTAAAACACAACACTCTTTCATCCTTAAATTGTTTTATTAACCTTTCTCTCCAAGTTCTTTTGATAAAAGACTTAAGCAAAATTATGATTTTTATGTCCAATGTTCTATTTTGAACATTCAAAGTCATCAAAGCCCTAGCCAAACAGGGTGTTCAATCTCAATACATCGGGATCCTCTGAGAGCTGTATTACTGATT